CTCTGAGGTAGACAACGTTTTTGATCCCATGGCTCACAATCTTGCCACAGCACTAAACAGCTGCTAGCCAACAGGAAGAAAGAGCGAATCCTTCCTACCTAAACTCTCCCACGACTTAACTTTTCCGAGCCTCAAATTACAGCTTCTCTTATACTCCTACTGTACCGCTGTTGCAATAGCTCCCCATTTTGCAGCATTGCAATACTTTACAGGACCAATCGCCGCTGTGGATGAAGGGGTGCGTCCGTGGGACAGGGTTTAGCATGCCGTTAGAACGTTCCCACCAGTTTTTGAAGCAATTAAGCGACAAAAACTGGTGGGAAACGACTGATATGATGGATAGCGATCGGTACAGAAGGTATGATACGCTCTTGCCACTCGCCGAAAGAAAAACGGGCTGGCGTGGCGCCAAACTCATTCTCCTGGACACGCCCCACCCATCCACCGCGAACGAGACTATACAAAGTTGCCCGTTCTATTGAACAAATGCGCCATTTGCTGAACCAGGAACTTCCAGACCCCTTAGCTAAGGTATACAAATGAGCCATGCAAGTTCCGATTCAACTTTTCTACTAATGCAGGTAAGTTAACGAGGATGGCCTATCAACCGTTGGACATTTGACAAATTTCCATGTCTGCGTGAAAATTTGAAGAATTCGATATCCTTGAGAGAAGTCCAGAGGGTGCTACCATATTGCAGAGGGTGCCTAGTGGGTAGCAAGAGTGAGGAAAATGAGAGAAGGGAAGGAAATACAACTGTTAGAGAAATAAAAAACTTCAAAACTCGACTATCCAGTCGACGGACGAGTTACCTTAGCCATCTTTACATGTTACTTCATGGCAGATTCTCGCTCAGCCTCAATAAGTAAAGACTAACTTGTACTAACTGATCAGCGACAAGTAAAAACAGGTAAGGGATACCGAATGGTTCTCTTCCCATAAATGACCGAATCAAGTGGAACCAGAAATAAATAGGATAAAAGATAAATTATGAACATACGGTTCTCTAAGACAATCCCGAATGTGTTGATTGAATTCATCTGTGGCACCAACGAAGCAATCTTCACATATCCCTCACTTTGCTGTTGTTGTGGCACATGAACGTGAGCATGATTGACTGCCATTCAACTGAAATTCGATCTGTTAGCTCGGGTTCCTTTTATTGTTGCAGATTCTAGTTCGAGAACATGCCTTAACGTGATCCCCTTGTGAAATCACCACTAAACAGCCTGAAGTGCGAGCAATTTTATAGGGCAACTTCACTTTTGTGGATGTGGAGCACAAAATTAACGATGGAGCGCGGAAAAGGCAAGGGAACATTTCAGCGTGCAGGCGGGCGCTGACAACCTGAAGACGAGGTAAAGGTTTCCTGGTGCAAAAGTGGGAATAACACTATTCGATCAACTTGAACTCGATCCCTTTAATCCCGCCAATTTTCTGTTTTTCTCTGCGGTCTCGCGACTGGTGAATTTTATGACCACTGTGATCTCACGTGTTCCAACTTTTCACCCATGATAAATGGTTCATTCACGCCGGAGTCTCAATCCCCTGAAAAAAAACTAGCCCCCAAGCTTGAGACATGCTTCCTGTACATTTATTTTCGTTGGCAGCTGCACTCTTTGATTCTCTGCGCTCCTGCCTTTCGCGACAGGACCTCCACAAAAAGTTCTAGTTGTCCCGTGACCTCAAATAAAAGTGCCGTCATTTTAACCGGTTAACCAATTCCAGAGCTCGCCCCCTGTAGGCTGACCAAAAGCCCTATCTCCCAGTCCCAGTTTTGCATAGGCACTCCTTTAAATGCCCACCCAAAGTTACAGTATTGTATTAGCTCCAACTATGGTTCAGTTAGTACATAGTACATAAGTAGTCTATCTCGGTAATA